ATCTGGGCCAATGATCGTTCGTCTAGATCGCTCAACATCTCTGGACATATCTTTGTGGACGGGTCCTGCGCTGCGCACCTTGTTAACGAACTCTCCAGGGCTGGGTGGGGGATAGTGATGGTAGGTGACGACGGTGAAGAGATTTGTCGTATCAGTTGTCCGCTTTGGGCCCCCAATCTCCAGACTGCCCAAGGGGGAGAATTTGGCGCCTACGCTGTTGCTGCAATGCACGCCCTGCCAGGGAGTTCTATTTACTCTGACTGTAAGAATGTGGTCGTCCAAGCCAATGAGCCACTGCTCAGGGCTTTGTCCTACCAGCGTGTGCACTCAGGATTTTTGCTCCCCCACCCACCGCAAGCTTTTAGAAGGGTTTTTTTAAGTCAAGGCGCATGTTGGAGAATCCAGTGACCTCACGGTGTTGGAGCGGTTTTGGAAGCAAGGCAATGACCTTGCTGATGTTGTCGCAAAAAGCTCGCTGGCCCGTCACCCGCAACCTGACCCCGAGGATGTGGTATGGCTTGAGCGATGCCTCTCTATCGCCCAGTGTGTTATGCGTCTTTCAACCGAGCTGATGCCAGAGTGGCCTCGGCTCAACCTTACTGGGGCCCCGCTCGCCCCCAAGCCCCCCAGGCCCAAGTTCGAGCCGAGGTCCCATCGGTGGACTAGGGTTTCCTCGTTTTGGCAGTGCATTGAATGTCTCAAGGTTGCTAAGGGCGTACCGCGGACGAACCCCGACGGCTCTCGGCCTGGAGGGCTCGACCCGCCCGCCCTTGGGAAGTGCCTTAGATATTCCAAGCTGACGTCCGCGGTGCTTGCAGCCCTCAGGCATTTCTGCATTGCGTTGCTATGCTCTGATGGTGCTGCCCTCACTATTTGTATGCGATGCTATGCCTATTCCTCTCATGGGCAGCCTCGCAATTGACTTAGACAGTGTGAGGGCCAACCACAGAGTGCGTGTGCCAAGTCTGCCTGGATTTCTGTGGGGGCTGGACGCCACCCCAAGCGCAAAGGTGTTTCAGTCGAGGTAGGCCCCTGGTATGAAGACTTGGAGCAAGAGGAGCGGCCTCGACGTCTCACAGACCAAGAAAGGGAGTTGCGACTAGCCAAGCTGGTGCGGAGGCTAGTCACTGCAGCAGGGGGGTCATCAGGCCCAGCCGGCGTGGAGCTGGAGGTCGGCCCTCCACAGTCAGCACTCCCACTGGGGCAGCAGCCAGAACGAGTCGTTGGCCCCTCGTCCGATCTGTTGTGCACCGTCGTTGCTGCTGCCCCAACTCCTCTCCCTCTTGAACCGCGAGACGCGGAAGAGGAAACAGCCTTTTTCTTGCTTGGCCTGCCTGGTCAGAGTCCCTCCCAGCAGGCCACGCGGCAGGTGCCTGGGCCAGCCTCTTCGGCTGGGGCGTCTGGGCGTCATCGAGCCGCCTCAATCCTTGTAGAGGACGAGGCCTCGCTCGCCGTCGGCGCTGCACCACAGCCTGATGACTCAGACTAAAGAGATGCAGCATGCGTCCTCTGCGCGTGTGTGCGTCTCGCCCTGACTTCATTCTTCTCTGGTCGTGGGCTTAGGGGGGCAGGCGGTGAGCCACAGGGGATCCTCCCCTCCTGTGGGTAATCGCCCCGTGGCTTTCGCGCCTGCCTTCTTTTTTTCACCTTTTCACTGCTCGCTGGCCTGCTCCAGGCCAGATAGCAGGGGGCGACGACCGCTCGGCGTCGCTCTTGTTGCCACGGTTGATGTCAAAAAAATCCCCGCTTCCTCTTGCTCCCAGTCGTGCTTCTTGTCCGGCTCCTGCGCTGCTCGCGCTCCTCCTCCTCGGAGGCCCACTCTGCCAACGGACCGGCCTCCGTCCGTGTGGCGGATGTAAGCTTTCGAGGCCAGTGTGCGCGGCGTGAAGGCGAGAGGCGAACTTTGCAAACGGACCGCCTCCCACCAGTGAGCGGCGCCAAGGCGAGAGCCGCACGTCAACTTTGGACCGCTCTCCATCCGTTTATGGCAAGCTTCATGGTAATACATTCTGGGGAGTTTTCAGGTCAAACTCAATGGCCCATCCCACCGACGCGCCTGGTGGTGCGTGCGACGAGGATGAGCTCAGGTACTGATGTCCTGTTTCTAGTTCGATGCCTCGGCTTCCTCCCCTGCCCGCACCCCGCTCCTCCCTCCCATGTTCAGACTCCGTCGCGCTCAGACTCAGTTGCATCCAGACACGCTCGCACTCATACTCGCACAGTCTCATGCTCACTCGTACTCAGACTCTTACCCAGACTCGCTCAGACTCCGACTTACTCATAGCAAGACCACCCACACCTAGACTCACTCCCACTCCGAGGTTACTCATACTTCGGTTTGCTCATACTCAGCGTCTCATGATCCGATTACCCGCCCTCAGACTCACTCAGAGCCATACTCACCCACACTCCGACTTACTCGTACGCAGACTCTTACGCACTTACTCTCCTTCGTTGCTGCCCAATTTTCTCATGTGATTGACCACCACATCATACACTGAGTTTTGCTCCCAAATCCTATGTCTAGGCTCTTGTTCCCCATGTGCGAAGTATAGGTCCCTTACTCGGGCCCGCTCATACTCAGACTCACTCATACTATTGCATACGCACGTGCTCGGAGCCAGCCACATTTCTCCATTCGGACTCAGGCCCGCTCACGCTCAGACCCACTCATACCCATACTCACCTCGTGGGCGCCTCCTGGGGGCCCGCAGGCGGTTTCGGGGGCCATCTGGAGGTTGGAGGACCCCAATGGCCTCTTCGAGTTTCTCCTCTGGTGTTCTTTGGGCCTCCTTGGGGGCCCGTGGCCCGCCATTGGGAGGCTTGACGGCTGCTTCGGGGGCGTGTTTGCGGGCCCCTGGGGCCTGCCTGTACGACTTCAAGCTCCCAAATCGAGTTCGCGAGCCTCGCAGGCGCACATCACGCTGGCTTCTTGGGCCAGACCCCACGGCCGCCTGCGTGCCCTGCCGTGCCCGTGCCGTGCCCGTGCGCGTGCGCGTGCCGTGCCGTGCTCGGGTGCCTTGCCGCTCCCGCGTGCCGTGCTGCCCGTGCCGTGGTTGCTTCTCTTCGGAGGTCAAACAGTGTGCCGCCCGCCTGCTGCTGCGTGCCGTGCCGTGCCCATGCGGTGCCCTGCCCGCATGCCGTGGCGTACCGTGCGCCTGTCGACGTGGACTCACCGCGTGTCTTCTTGTGCAGCGTCGTTGTTGTTGTTGCTGCTGCTGTTGCTGCTGCTACTGCTGCTGTTGTTGTTGCTGTTGTTGTTATTGTTGTTGTTGCTGCTGCTGCTGCTGTTATTGTTGTTGCTGTTGTTGTTGCTGCTGCTGTTATTGTTGTTGTGGTTGCTGCTGCTGCTGTTGTTGTGGTTGTTGTTGCGGCTGCTGCTGTTGTTGTGGTTGTTGTTGTTGTTGTCGTTGTTGTTGTTGCTGCTGCTGCTGTTGTTGTTGTCGTCGTCGTCGTTGTTGTTGTTGTTGTTGCTGCCGCTGCTGCTGCTGCTGCTGTTGTTGCTGCTGCTGCTGCTGCTGCTGCTGTTGTTGTTGTTGTTGAACATTATTAATTCTAAAGAATAATTATTGTTGGGGCCCCTGGTGCACGGCCCCCCTGCGCCGCCTAGGCCGCAGCTACATTTTCATCATTTTCGTGAGGAAGCCTCAGGTAATTCGATGTGATCAAGATCCGGTTGTTTTGTTCCCCCCCGCTTTCCCTTGCAAAAAACACTATAAAATGACATTTCTTGTTCTAATATAATCAAATTTCAAGAATCCCTTGCAAAAAATAAGGTAAAGTGGACATTCGCGCGCGCAAGACGAAATCCTTCCAAAAGCTTAGTGTTCGGAGCGATTTTAACATAAAAACATCAAAAAACCAATGGTTTTTCAACAAAAAAATGTCAAAATCTCATCCCGCGCGCTCTTGCGGATTCGTAGGAAACCCAACACTTTTTAAACATTTCTGTCAAACGGGCTTTTGCGAGCAACTTTTTCGAACTTCTGCGACAACGGTTGCGCACCTGCCAGGGCCATCATCCCTGTCAAATAATACCATGCGGGACACATTCGTTTTTTCTTCGCGCGCGCACGCCGAAATCTCCAAAAACCATTGGGCTTCTTAAGAATTTTAGCACCGCGCATCATAAAATCACACGAATCGCACCGTAGGTCCTCGAAAAACACCTGCACGACTTTTCAAAATTTCTACCCGCGCGCGCTGTCCTAACAACTTCTGTGGGTGTGTACTCCACGCCAGTGTAGTAGCCACGGTCGTCCGCAGGCCACGAAGTGAAGTGTCCGAACGTCATAGGGCGGGAAGCTGGGTGTGGGTGGTGGCGAAGAGTCGTGTGGATATTTGGTAGAGCTTGCACTGCCCCCCCACAAAGTGGGGGTATTGGCTGGCGTCGCATGAAAACCCTGGCACTGGTGAGAACACTGAGCGTTCGGGTAAAGTGATTGTTGTTGTTGTTGTTGTTGTTGTTGTTGTTGTTGTTGTTGTTGTTCACTGTCTCCGTGCTGGTGCTAGTGTAATGCACCTGCGATGTTTGAGTTGTGTCGGCCCTTTGGGGGCATCCTCGGGAGGCTCCGTGGCCACTTGGAGCCGCCTTGCGCTGGTCTTGGGGCTTCCAGGAAGCACGTTGGAGACCGCCTGGCTGTCGGGAAAGGCCCGATGGCCGACTGGGATGCGTCCTTTAGGTATGGTGGTAATTGTGGTGGCCGCTCGGTGTCTTTTAGGGCCGCGCCCGGACACTCCGGCATCCCGCGGCGAACTTGCCAAGGGATTGCCAGGGAGTCCCCCGTAAGAAGAGTGGTAGATGAGCAGTGGGAGCACCAGGAGGAGGAGGAGGAGGAGGAGGACGAGGAGGAGGATGAGGAGGAGGAGGAGGAGGAGGAGGAGGAGGAGGGAGGAGGACGAGCAGCATTCGTATGAGTATGAGCGGGAGGGGGACGAGGAGTAAGAGCAGGAGAAGGACCGCACAGCGCTGTTTTTCTCGTTGCGGTTTTGGACTGCAGGCGCTGGCGCTGCAAGGCCGTATGAGCGAGCATGCGTACGTGTTCACGAAGGAAACGCCTGCCTGCCTTTGGGCCAGCTGTCCCTCGGCGAGGTAGGAGAAAGAGGAGGATGAGGGGAAGGATGCCGAGGAGGACAAGGATAGGGAAGCGACGAGAAGGAGGGAGGGCTAGGGGCAGGTGGAGGAGGAGGAGGAGGAGGAGGAGGAGGAGGAGGAGGAGGAGGAGATGGATTAGAGTAAACTCAGGATGCGTAAACGATGCTGCAACACACCCTCCCGTCCCAAGCGCCCTCCTGCTAAACCACTACACCACGGGCCTTCTTCACTGCAGGAATCGTCCCTTCAAAAACGAGCACCCGATCGGTTTGCCATTCAGGCTAGAGTCCCATTTGAGAAAAGAAAGCCGTGCATCCTTCTATCTTATGGCCTTCGGCCCATCCCGTTACCGTGTCTGGGTTGTGCGTATGAAGTTTTTTTGATGTTCATTGGGATCTCGTGGGAGGCCTCTCGGTGGCCTCTTAGAAGCAGTTTGGAGGCCTCTTGAGGGCCGTTTCGGGTCCTCTTGGGGCCTCTTTCGCATTTCTTTGGGGGCCTCCTTGGGCCTCTGACGGGCCTCTGACGGGCCTCTTGGAGGCCTCTTGGTGCCTTCTGGGCGCCTTTTGGGGCCTCCTGGGGGCATCTTGGGGCGGAAGGCTCGGATTTTCGGTTCGTGTTCCCTCTCTTGGGCCCCTTTTGGGGCCGTCTTGAGGCCCTCCTGGGTTGTTTTGGGCACCTCTTGGGCCGTCTTGGGGCCGTCTTGGGCCATTTTGGGGCCCTCTTGGAGGCCTCCTGGGCCGTCTTGGGGCGGTCTTCGGGGCCTCTAGGGCCGTCTTGAAACGTCGAGACCGCCAGAATCCTTCAAATTCCAACGGGAAGCAATGATTTTGGCCTTTTGGGGCCCTCTTGGGAGGCCTCGAGGCCTCTTGGGTCGTCCAGGGGCCATCTTGAGCGTCTTGGAGCGATCGTTCGGCGACTCGGGGCCCTCGTGGACCGTCTGAGGGGGCCTCCCGAGGCTCTCTCGGCCCGTCTTGGGGCCCTCCGGGGCCCGAGAAGCCCCAGGATATTCGAGAGCGAGGGGTCCGGGTCCCTTAAACAAATTTTCAGGGGTGAGGAGTGAGGTTCAGAGGGTTAGGCAAAGGACCTGAGGACACGCCCACTCCGTGCCTAGCGGCACGCAGGCGGATCAGGATGATAAAGTTCAACGGGGTGTCTAGCGAGTGTCAACGATTGCACACGATTGCGTGCCTGGCCATGCAACTTGCCGAAGTCTAAAGCGGGAGCCTCGTTTTCAAAAGGAGCGCCCTCCTCCGTGCATTTCGTTTTCACATTTTCAAGCTTCCAGAAGCGAGAGCCTCATTTTGAAAAGACACCGTCCTCGATCTTTTCAGCTGCGGCGCAAGTTTACGAGCAATGTTCGCGTGGCTACGGCGAGAATTCCATTTGGAAAAGAAGCCGTCCTCCATCCTTGCAACTGTTGCAAACTATGGTGAGGAATGTGCGCGGCGCTAGGGCGATAGCGGCATCTTGAAAGCCGCCCGCCCTCCATCCTTGAAGTGTTAGGGTTTATCAGTTTGAGGGCAGTAAGTTGCAAGGAAGTTTCAGGCGCAACGCCCAACCCCAGCCTACGGACACGTCTGGTAGTGCGGCAGGGGACGAGTTTAGTTTAATGTTTTTTGTTTTGTTTTTCGGTGCGTGTTAACTTGAACAGATATAATGTATTCGGCCTCTTACACATAAAAAAGACAACACACGGAACTGGAATCGAGGAGGAGAGGATGAGCAGGAGGAGGAGGAGGAGGGGCAGGAGGAGGAGGAGCAGGAGGAGCAGGACAGAGGGTTTGAATCGCCTAGAACTGTTCAAGTTTTACCAGTCCAGTAACGCGTATTTTGATCACATATCGTGGAAATCAGATTGTGTGTTACCCGGAAATCGCCATCCGTTAGTTTCGCTGGTCAACGTGTTAAAGTGGTGTGCTTGGCACCGCGACGAGCACCCGATTTTCGAAAAGAGTCGCCCCCTGCTTGGGTAACTGTTTGAACGTCGTTAGCTGTGCGACCATTCGGAGCCACTCTCCCCCCGAGAGCACCGAGACAGCCCGAGGATCCCCACCCAAAGATGACGACCCGAGGGCGAGCCGACTCGGCCACAACACAAGGCGGCCCCAGACGAGGGCGAACGCGATCAGGCGCTCGGAGTGTGCCTTCTTTCGTGCGCGCGCAAAGTGGACCATCGTCCCCTAATCAGCGGCAGCGGCGCAAAGGCAACACTTTGAACGCTTGGGCCATCGGAAACATGGTGGTCAACAAAAGCGGTGGGACGACGACATTCGAAAATTTCTCAAAAGTTCGCACCAGACCACCAGCGACGCAGCCACACAAGGCAACACCAACGAAGCCACTCGCCCACGGCAGTATATCCACTACGACAGCAACGACATAAGATGGTTGACAGCCGCAACGGAGACAACGTGGTGCGACACACTTGCAAGCAGCTTCCTTGCATACACCAGTTGACTGTGCAAACCGCCCAACAGCAGCAGCCACAAGTCGTCATGTCAGACATCACGCACACAGGAGAGACAGAAGCATTGTAAGGAGGGGCGGAAATTGGGGCGCTGACTCCTAGCTTACGCAGCCCTTTTCCGTGCGTGCGGGGCTTGATGGTACAACTGTAATGCCAACGTTTTGGATCTACCGGCCTATCCTGCACAGACGGAGCCGACACGAACAAACATGAAGAGTGCATCGGCCACTGGACCACCCACCTGAAATGGTACACCCTCCCCGTGGGAATCGGCAGGGCGATCCCGCAAGACGTGTGCACGCCACCTTGTGACAACACACAAGTTGCACTGGTGTGTCCCCAACATAACCAAACAGCGGCACCATCAACGCCAGTACAAGCACCGACCACACCAACAGCAGCAGCAGCAAAGCACCGACAGCACCGACTCCAGCTCCGACCACCGACACCAACCAACGACCAGCAGCGCCACCAGCACCAAACGCCACCGAACACCAGCATCGACCACCACGAACCAACACTGACCACCAGGACGTGGCACCGCTCAACAACACTGACAGAACACAGGAATCGACCACCAGCACTGACCACAAACAAACACCATCGACCACAAGCACAATCCTGAACTCCGTCTTCCCTGTCTTCTATTTGCGCCGGCTCGTTTACTACTTCGTCCACATATTCTATTTGTGCTGGTTGCTGTCCTTTTCCGACCACACGCTCTATTTGTTCCGGTTCGTGAACTATGTCATCCAGAGTTTCAGCACCCACACGGTCTGAGGCTACGGCCTCTTGCGCCTTGCCCAAAGGGCACGGGCACCCCCGGTGCCCCGAACCGGCGCCTCCGCTCCCTGAAGGAGTCGCCCCTGGCACGCGACGGTCATCCACTGCGCCCACTGGGGCTTGGGGTGGAGCTTCCCTTCATGGGATCTCGAAACGTGTGAGTGCTGTGCCGAAGTGTTTGCCCAGCATGCAACACATGCCCACTTGGGCCTTCGGTGGGGCTCCCCATGGGGGCACGAAACATGTAAGTAGCGTTCCGCAATGGAGCCGCCAAGCCAAGCATGCGAGCATGCCCGCAAGACACTTCGATGGAGCCTTTTAAGGGTTCATGAAGCGTGCGAGGGCGCGTCGAGCTGGGAGCGGGTGCGGCATGCGTTGCGCCCCACTGGGGCCTTCCTTGGAGCTCCCTTATGGGGCCACGAAGCGTGTGAGGGGTGCGCTGACATGGAGCCGCCCAGCATGCGACCATACACTTTTTCCGTCGGCGGCGAGGCAGAGTTGGCTGTACCAGCGCCAGAAAAGCGGATTGGCCAGCGTGAAGGAGCGGGAAAAGGACAGACAGGGCGGCCGCGGGGGGGGGAGGGGAGGTCGCTCAGGGGCGGACGGGTCAACACCTGAGCTGCTGGCGCGGCCAGCCCCGTCGGCGGGGACCATGACAGCTGCCGGGCCGCAGCTGCCATGCGAACATACGCACTGAAGCTGCAGGTTGAGCTCCCTGGGCCACGAGGCTTGCCAGGAGTGTGCCCGACAGCAGCCGCCCAGCAGGCGAATATGCCCACTGGGGCCTTCGATGGAGACCCCTCTCTAATGGGATCGCGGGACATGTGATGGGTGTTCCGAACTGGGGGCAGGGGCGCCATGCGCTGCGTCCCGCTGGGGCCGTCGGTGGACCTTAGTTGTGGGGCCACGAGGCGTGTGATCAGTGCGCCGAAATGGGGGCGGGTGCCGCATGCGCAGCGTCGCACTGGGGCCCCTGGTGGAGCACCCCGCGGGGCCGCGAACCGCGTGAACCACGGACATGCGGAGAGTAGAGGCAAGGACGGGATGGGGATGCGGAGGCAAGAGGCAAGGATAGGGAGGAGGATGAGGAGGAGTGAGGAGTGAGGCGTGGGGGCGCTGCAGATTCAAAGCAAGGATCTAACACATAATGGTGGTGGAGCAAGTAATGCGACAACCATGCAACGTGACAGCCACTCCAAGCGACAACATCGTACCGTGCCACCCAGACGGCCTCAAGATCTAGGAAGCGCTTAGCGTTTCTGGGGGTGTTCGGGAGGAGGGGGAGGTCCAAGGAGCGAGGGCGGAGATTTCAGTTTCTATCCCGAAGGTCCGCGAATAGACGAGCTCAGCAATTGCCAGGGGAGTGAGCGCGAGCAGGAGTGACAGAGGGAGGAAGAGAAGGAGGAGGAGGAGGGGGAGGAGGAGGAGGAGGAGGAGGAGGAGGAGGAGGAGGAGGGGGAAAAGGAGGAGGAGGAGGAGGAGGAGGAGGAGGAGGAGGAGGAGGAGGAGGAGGAGGGGGAGTAGGATAACGTGGGCGAGAGGTACGGACTTTGCTTTCTTTCTTTGCGCTCGTGCCAGATACGGCGGGCGCTTATGCACGTGCGGACCTGACATGCCAGCATGTCGCTGACGCCAAGGGAAGCCCATCACAGGAGGAGCGGGAGAACGAAGGATGAAACAAGCTGCCTGCGCCAGGAAAGCAAGAACCAGAAGACTGGGAGAGGTATAACAAAAGAATGAAGAGGAAAGGGGGCGCACGTTGCTGGCGCCCAGAGAGCCAGAAGTGGACGTGAGAGCATCCTCGTGCTGCAGGGTGCATACGTATGTTGAGCTTGGGCGCCGCTCTGGGCTCGCTTTGCCCTCACCGCCGCCGCTCAGCACGAGTGCAGCGTTTGCGTCGCCCTCGAAGGCTTTGCGCGTGCTCCATGCCAGCGGGACTTCTGGTACAAGTCCTCCTGCGTACTGTTTGCAGCTCGCTTGTTGCACCCAAGCCCGCCACGCTAACTTGCCCAGCATCACGCTAGGCCCAGTGCCCTCCCTAGGGTTCCGTTCTGAGTCCCTTTCGGCATCTGAGCCGTCTCGGCCGCCGAACGGACCCGGGATCGAGCCCATGCGGTGGCCGAGCTGGCCCCAATTACCCCCACCCCGTCGGAATCGAGCTCATTCGGGGGCCGAGTGGGCTCAGACAGAGGCCATTGGGCACCCCAAGACGGCCCCAAAGGGGCCCCCGGATCCTCCTCCTGTGAGCGGCGCGGGAGGGAGGGAAGTGAGAAGGAGAAGGCCTTCTTAGAAGGCGGCGGGACTTCTCAGAAACCCTCGCGACTTCTGAGAATTTGTATGTCTTCGGGGAAGGCTTAGAAGACTTTTCAGAAGTCCGGGGGACTTCCGAACCTTCTGAGAAGGCTCGCCCCTTCTCACTTCCCCCCGCGCTCGCCGCCAATCCTGTGCACGTGCCGCAGGACAGAACGTCGTGGTGTCCGCAGAGCATGCGCGCGGGTGACATGGAGAGAGGCGGAGGACAAGGAAGAGGAGAGTGACAGGCGGGCCCCGCCGCCTGCTGCTCCTCCTCCTCCTCCCCCCTTCCACCCCAAACTCCTCCTTCCCCTTCTCCCCCTCCTTCTCCTCCCCTTCCTCCCCCTCCTTCTCCTCCTTCTCCGTCTCCTCCTCCTCCTCCTTCTCCTCCTCCTCCTCCTCCTCCTCCTCCTCCTCCTCCTCCTTTCCCTCCCTCCTCCCCCTCCTCTCTCCCTCCTTCCCCTCCCTCCTCCTCCTCCTCCTCCTCCTCCTCCTCCTCCTCCTCCTCCTCCTCTCCCTCCCTCCCTCCCTCCCTCCCTCCCTCCCTCCCTCCTCCTCCTCCTCCTCCTCCTCCTCCTCCTCCTCCTCCTGGACGGCGTCAAGGAGGCCCTGGCTCCCTGGCTCAACACGTGCGGCTTCCATGACGGCGTTCACTTCAAGTACGAGGGTGGGCGATTGGGTCGGCGATTCGTGGTGCGCTTCTAGGGCGACATGGAAGCCACCCTTGAGCGGAGGATGCGCCTGGTTTTCCTCGGGCTTTGCACTGCCGAGGGGTGGCGGCAGTTTCGCACGGCGGTTCCTGGCAGCAGGATGGCACAGCTGTACGTGGGCATGGACAAGAACAGGCATCAGCAGACCAGGGAGATCAACCTCAAGACTCTGCAACGACCCCTTGGCGATCGGCTCCAGAGCCGCACGTTCGCCGACCGCGAGATGGGCATCATCACCGTCAGCTGGGAGCCGCTGCCAAGCTCACGGCTGATCCCGTGGCCGCGCCCAAGGTCCAGTGGAACGTCAACACGATCGCTGATGCACATCTTCCCTGGGCTGAGGCTGAGGCTCTGGCCGACGGCCTCTTCAAGAAGCGCGAGACACAGTGGTGCGGGTAGCTCACGGCTGGGACGACCCTCGGTCCGCTTCGTGTCGTGGTATTACCGCGCGCCCTGCCACTACACCGCGACAGGGCTTTCCAGGAGGATGGCCACCCTACAGGCCTTTGATGGGGGCAACGTTGTCCGGGGCCTCCAGTAGGTGCACGGCAATCAAGCGGCGGTTGAGGTGGTACTTCAGCGCACTGACCGGCAGCATGTGGTTTTCTGGTCACTCCTGCTGAATTCGCATAGCGGCGGAGTCGCCACGATCTTTTCTGGTCACGCCGCTCGCTGACTCTGGCAAGTTCCCGGCTTACCACTGCAGCGTCCCTCGGCAGGGGTCCGCTGCGCGGGCTGCTCACCTGCAACAGGCGGCGGGCCAGGCAGCGGCTCCCGGCTCCCGCGCACAATCGCTTCGGCAGAGGCGGGCAGCATTGCGGGCGCGCGAAGCTTTGGTCGCCGTTTGATCGCTGGCGCTGCCTCGGGGCTGTCGCACCGAATGAGGGCTCCGCACTCTGTGAACGAGTTGCTGGTGTACTGTCTGACAGGGCTGGCGCTCCAGCCGCCAATCCCGACTCTCGGGTTAACGCGTGACTGGCGTCCTCGGGGGCGCAAGGCCGCGGAGACGACTCGCCCATACGCCGCGCTGGCGAGGCCGCCAGGGCCACGCAGGGCGAGGTTCCCACAGTTTGCGTCGACGCACGTACATGAGATCGATTGTAGACACTCCTAGGAACATGGCCGACACTCGGGTGGCAAATTCCGCACTCCCTGCTCATCCCAATGCGGGTGACGCTAACGGTATGCTCCCTGACTCACGTAGCTCGGGTGCATCGTTCCCTTCGCCCTGCTCTTCGGCCTCCTCCTCCTCCTCCTCCTCCTCCACCTCTTCGAGCTCTGGGACCTCCTCTGCGACTACACTACGCTCTTCTGGGTCATCATCATCGTCGTCCCCTCACTTCGGTCGCCGAGTGCTGGTTTGGGCGGACCCTCCTTGGTGGCTGGAGCGCCCCCGTCCAGGGCGACCGAAGTCCAAACGCAACGTTTGGGGACCGACCAGGGGGACGCAGGGTAGGGCTCGGCCGCGGCGGCACGCCTGGTCGGCGCGCTGGGTGGCTTTGGCGCAGCGTCTTCCAGCGACCTGTTATTCCTCATGCCCGTGCTGCTTGGTACGCCCAACCATTTGCCCATCGAGGAGACTTCTATGATCTGCCGCCGCCAACCCTGGGCAAGATGCGCCACTTCCTCCGGAGTGTTGGGGAGGCGTCGCTAGGGCCCGACCAGCTACCCTACGTCGCGTGGCTCATCGGGGAGGGCCCGTCGATCCTCATGGACGTCTTGCTCAAGCTGGCGAACAGCGAGTCGATGCCAGGCTGGTTCGGGTAGTGCACCGTGGTATTTCTTCCGAAAGAACGAGATGGCCCGTGACCTCCTCGGGAGACGCCCTGGCGACACGTGTCCTTCAGGGCTTAAGAACGCTAGGCCTCCTGGATGGGATCGGAGTAGATGGGGTCGGAGGATCGCGCCGCATCGCCGATGCATCGGCGATGCGGCTCGATGCGGAGCCTAATGTTCTCCATCCGACGTTGCCGATGCATCCCCGAGGTCGCCAGTGCATCGCAGATGCATCGCCGATGTATCGTCGATGCATTGGCGATGCGGTGCGATCCTCTGACCCCATCTACGCCGACCCCATTTAGGACTTAGGAGGTATCTAAGAACATCTGCAACAAAGCGATCGCGGCAGTGCTCAACGGTTGCATCCAGCCCTGGATTCGCACCAGGGGGGCGGGTATGCAGCGGGGCTTCATTGCAGGGCGCGAGATGCTCAGCAACGTGGTGGAGTTGGGTGGCATCTCGCGTGCTGCCAGCTGGCGCTGCTGGAGCGGGGAGGAGTTCGAACCGATGCTCGTTACCTTCGACTTTGCGCAGGCGTTCCCGTCTGTGCGTCAGTCGTGGCTGCACTGTACCCCCTTGGTATCTCAGGTCCCCGCCAGGTTTCAGAAGGCTGTCGCCCAGCTCAACTGGTTACACTCGTGCTCGATGCTGGCGGGGGGAGTGAGCCGCCTGGTTGGCTTCGGTTGGAGGGCCAGCGGTCCACTCTTTGTTCTTGACGGCCGCTGCGGCCATGATGCGCACGGCGCTCGTGACCACCGCAGCCTGGCGGCCGCTCCTGGTCAAGATCCGCGAGGCCTCTCTCGTGGCTCCGACGACAGCTGACTTTCTTTCCCTGCCATTCTGGTAGATGCCTTGCATCGCGACGTCCCTAGAAAAGGCCACGTTTGGCTTCCCCGAGGACCCAACACTGCGGGCGTGGGGGCGGCTGGCGCTGGAGCGTTGTTGCTTTGGGTCCATGGAGGTCCGCCCAAAGCGGCAGAGCGTCTTCGGGGGGGCATCCGTTGCCGAGCACGTCTTCCAAGATGAGTTTCAGGAGCTCGTCCGAAGGAGGGTGGCCAAGTGGTTTGGGGTGAACCTTCGGCGTCGGGGGTGGTTTGGGACGAAATGGCCACCTTCCTCTGGACACGGCCCCCCAGCTGGGTCTCGGCAGCATTGAAGATTTGGCTCGGGGGGTGGATGACGAACACCCGTATGCAACGACAGGCGCGGTGTTTCCTAGGGCGCGATTTCCCTGATCATGTCACTCATTATTCGCTCTCGTGCCAGCCGCTGTCGGAGTTGGTCGCCCTTGCCACCCGCCAGACCCCTCCAGCAGATCGGCTGCGTCGTCTCGGTCTCGCGGGGGAGGATCTCCGGTGGTGCGTAGGCTTCTTCCACGGGTACCGCGTGCTTGCTCAACTTGTCCGTTCTGCTTCCCGCGCCCTCTCGCCCATGGAGGCCCCCGAATAGGTTTCGGGCGATAGCGCTGGCCCTAAGGCTTCCGCGACGGCCGATGGGGAGGGGCCAGGGGTAGAATAGCGAGGCAGTTGCCAGTCCTTTCCGTTGGGTTGACGGGGACTCTTCCGCAGACTGTGCCTCCTCCTCCCTCCTCCGTCCTCCCTCCTCCCTCCTCCTTCCTCCTTCCTCCCTCCTCCCTCCTCCCTCCTCCCTCTTCCCTCCTCCTCCTCCTCCTCCTCCTTCTCCTCCTCTTTCTCCTCCTCCTCCTCCTCCTCCTCCTCCTCCTTCTCCTCCTCCCCTTTTATCCCTCCTCCGTCCTCCCTCTTCCCTCCTCCCTCCTCCCTCTTCCCTCCTCCTCCTCGCTCCCTCCCTCCCTCCCTCCCTCCCCTCCCTCCCTCCCTCCCTCCCTCCCTCCCTCCTCCCTTCCTTGCTCCTTCCATCCTTCCCTCCCTCTCTCCTCCCTCCTCCTCCTCCTCCTCCTCCTCCTCCTCCTCCTCCTCCTCCTCCTCCTCCTCCTCCTCCTCCTCCTCCTCCTCCCCTCCTGCACTAGCCCGGGGGCACCCGAGTGGGTCCCCACCCCCGCCACAATGGGGGACCCCCGGGCTTTGGGGTTCAGCCCAGGTCTCGCTGCCCGCCACGCCACGGCAGCAAACCTGCCGGGCGCCGCCCTCCCCTCGGAGGCGGTTCGCGCACGGATTCCGGCCCGCCCGCCCTTCGACGGAACGGGCGCTCTGGCGGCGGCGGCGAGGGAGAAGAGGAAGCGGAGGGGGAGGGAGGAGGGGAGGGAGCCGGGAGAGAACCAGGAGGCGGAGGCGACGGACGCACGGCCGGGGACCCTGCGCCACCGGCACCCCCCGTTAGGCGCTCGTGCGACCGCCGGAGGCAAGGGGCGGGGGAGGAGAGGGAGGGGGAGGGGGAGAGGGAGGAGGAGGGGGAGGCGGCGCAAGAGGCAGGCAGCCAGGCGCGCTGCGCGCGGCGCGCGCCCTGCTTCAGCCTGTGGCCCGCTCCTGGCCAGCAGCCGGCCCGGCGCCGCCCCCCGGGCAGGCTGCTCTCGAGCCCGCGCCGCGGCCCAGCAGAGCCGCTCAAGTGCGCCGGGCGCGGTGGGCCGCTGGCCCGGCGCCCGCGCCGTCGGCCCCTGCCTCGCGGCGGGGCAGCCCGGCGCCCGCGCTGCCGGTGCCGGCGGCCGCCCGGCGGGGCGGGCCGCGGGCGGGCAAGCAGGCCGCGCGGTAGCTCTCGGCGTTGCCCCGCTGCAAAGTCACAGCGAGGCTTTGTCGGGCCGCCGTGAGCGCCTCAGCGTCCCCGCGCGCCCAGGTTCGGAGC